TCTGATGTATAATTTGTGTTTGGAAACATAAGCACTCAGAAATCAGAAACTCTGCAAATGGCATACTTTACATGTGGGTAGCAATTTACCAAGTGCAATAATAGTAACATGGCTAATGTCATCCTTTGCAGAATACAAGTATAAAATTAGAAATAGGAGATAGCATTGGTATATATTTTGTTAAATCAACAGATTGTAAAAGTCAATTTTAACTTCCTACCCCCACCCCAACTCCAGAACAATCATGGCAAAGCATATATGATAAATATGCTTTAGATTGTATTTTTGTTTGTTTTGCAAAAGGAAGCTTTTTGCATATTTCTCGTTAACATGGCACACCCATTTTGACAAAGCGTGTTCTCCTTCATGGAGAGCACCTGTTGCGGTGGGGGCTGCCAGGACACTCCAAAGTTGGGGGCGGGCTAATTGATCGTTGGCCACTGATGCGATTGGGGCTTCCCTTGTTGTTGGGAAGAAGATAATGTTGCCATTTGTTGATTGACAGCCAGAAATGCTAAAACTCCCCCTTCGGAACTTGAAATATGGGTCCCCCCAACACAAATTTGAAATTCGGCTTTGTAATTCGGAATTTATGTGATGTGATTTGATTTGATTGGTCGGTTAATAAAAATTATTTTTTAAAAAAAGAAATGCTAAAACTGCTTGCACGAGGCTAGGGCTTCCTCTTTTCGCCCGTGCATCGGATTGCCCGTCCCCCCCTCCCTAGAATTAGGGTTGTTCGCTTTGACCTTGCTATGCCTGTCATGGGGTCATCTGCTCTTGGGGCAGGGGCCCGGTAGGAATCTGGCTGATTGGCTGGGGCCATTTGGTTTTTGCCTACTGCGTAGCAAATTGTCACAACTTGTAAGGTTGCGGTTAGGCATTGGTTTATGGTTTGGTTGGTTGAGGGGCATGGATTGGCTGTGCCTGCCCCTCTAATGCTGCTGCTGCAAGGGATTCCATTAAAGGAATCGGGGGCTAACTATTGCTTGTCCACTCTGTCAAGGGGGCTCAAGCCATAGCAATGAGCTCCTGGTTGCATTTGGGCTGAGGGCAGGTTCCCTGCTCCGTCGCTACCCCCAAGTGTATTCCCCTTTTCTGACTTTCGCATTGTGCTGAATGTCAGTTTGTCCCCCATGGTGGGGGCAGATAGTCGCAACCAATGCCTAAGCAACCACTCACATTTTTTGTATTTTAATAAAGTTGTGGCCAAAATTATGCCAAAAACCTTAAACAAAAAATTCTGTGTGATGTGTGAGTTATTGGGGTGGCCCTGGGGACCTCGACACGCAAAATCAAAATGTATATATGTACTGTATTTATTTGCTGGTAAAGAGATGCTTTTTCAAGCGTTTGCAAGTCTGTCCTCTCAGGAGATATTATAATGTGTGTGCCCATTAAAGGCTGATTTCAGATAAGTCTACTTTTAATATTTTAAAAACTTTATTGAACGTTATTGACATGCACATAAATGCCAACCTTACATAAGACATGATAACATTTCATTAAGAAGCAATAAAGTATACTCAGCATGTACATCTAACTTTATAAAAGAAATCTACTCCCCCCCGCCCCCCGCAAAAAAACTTATAATTGGTTGGTTTTACTTGATGTAGCAATGGTGATATTACTTGACAAATCATTCAATAATGTTTTATAATACAGTGGTGCCCCGCAAGACGAATGCCTCGCAAGACGGAAAACCCACTAGACGAAAGGGTTTTCCGTTTTTGAGTTGCTTCGCAGGACGAATTTCCCTATGGGCTTGCTTCGCAAGACGAAAATGTCTTGCGAGTCTTGAGATTTTATTTTCGCTTTTCCCCCCTTTATCTAAGCCGCTAAGCCTTTAATAGCCTTTTAGCAGCTAATCCGATAAGCCGATAAGCCTTTAATAGCCGCTAAACCGCTAATAGCGCTAATCCGTTAAGCCGCTAATAGGGTTGCTTCGCAAGACGAAAAGACCGCTAGACGAAGACTCTCGCGGAACGGATTAATTTCGTCTTGCGAGGCACCACTGTATTTCTTATATACCGTCAACTTATTTGGATCGATAGGGAAGGTGCATTCTCTCTCTGTCCCCCCTCCCCAATCTTCTACTTATTAGAAGCTTTACTTGTGAATCCCGTTTAACAGATGAGCAACTATTAACGGCTAAACTGCTAATCATGTCCAGTACAGAATGGTCCAGGTTAGAGCTTTTCTGCTTCAGTGAATTTTAATTATATTTGATGGATCATTTTCAGCATAATACGAAGAATGTTCCATTGCAGTGCTATAAGGTTTTGCTCTGATTTTCCCCTCTTTTATTATTATTATTATTAAAGAACAACAACAACTTGCAGGTGAGGCTGAAGAGCTGTGCCAAGTGTGTTTTGGGGAGTGAGAATTGCAGAGGAATAATATGTCCTGTATTTCATTTTGGTGATGTCCACACAAAGTGAATGGAGCACATTTCTTCTTCTCCTACTGCTGTTCATACAATCCTTTCCATACAATCAGACCCACTGAGGAGCTCTCTAGAAATGCATGTTAGACTTTCCATGTAGGCAAAAATAGTGGTTGCTAGACTCAGTTCTCCATTCAGCGTATTGGAATTTATTGGACAGCTTTCTTGTGCATATTATGGGTTCACATGAATGGGTTCAGCTCATATAAGCATTTTAATTTCAGGGGAAAGGATGAACCAAGAACCTCTCTCTTCTTCCATAAAAAACTATATATATATATATATATATATATATATATATATATATATGTTGCATACTATCTTCCTCTTCACAAAGGACTCCCCATCTTCTGCAGGTCCCTTCATCTGCTATTACAAGCAATTATTTGCACAAGTAAACTTGCTAATAGATCATTTGCACCATCTTAAGGGACAATTATTGTGGGTGAACTGCAAGCAAGGCTTATATTGTGGGCTGTTTTCTGGTAGCAGAAACAAAAAGTACTTGCTTCCCATTTCTCTTACTAAATGGATAGTGTCAATAAATTTATTAGGCTTCCTCTGGTTCCATTACTTGGTGGGCAGTACAGATTGCATAGATTACATCAGAAGTAATTAAATTTCAGTGCATGGTTGCTCAGTGCAAGAATAGGCCACCATCCTGTTTCAAATTGTTCCATTAATTTTGTGGATATTGTTTTCTTTTTAATTGATGTGCCGATTTTCAAATTCATATGGGGGCTGGAAAATGAGAGAAACATTTCTAAAATGGATATTTTATTCATTAATAGTGGAAATGTCCTAAGGCAGGGAAATGGGTGCATTATGCTTGAGGTTTTAAATGTTTTTCCCCCAAAATTAGGGTAATAATCAAAAAATAATAATAAACAGCTTACACACACACAAATTATGTACACACCAAATCCATTTAAAGGCAGAGGGGAGGGAGTGTCATTTGTGTTTCTGTATGTTCAGAAAAGGAACATACAAATAAATTTGTCATTTTAGCACTGACCTTTCAATGCTTTTAGTTTATATGTCAACTCTCTTAATTGTCCAGCGCCTTTGCATACCAGTAATCAATGTCAGCTTCCAATACATCTCTCCCAAATCTCACTATAAGTAATTCTGGCAGCAGTAAGAGGGTGGGCAAATATTTTCCTAATATATAGAATAGATTTTCCCTCCATAAAAATATTTATAAGTGTTAACGGTGTGAAGCTGATATTTTTTAAAGCACATCGCCACTTCTCTCGCAGAGATTTTTCTGAATGGTCTTCAGCTGAAGCTCGTATCTGGCACAATATGTTTATCTGCAGTTACAACCCAGCTCCTGCATGTTTCCAGGTGCCAAATTTTCCAACTGTCACTTACGCAGCTGCCAAAGCTTCCAGTATTTTTCAGGCAACTCTGAAAGGACATCTGAGCAATGTGCTATCAGTATAAAAATCTGTTGCCCATTTAAGGGATTGTGCAGAATGAGTCTATTTTCAAAGCAAATTAGTCTAACGAAAGGGATAGTTGGCTGTGAACCATTTACATGCAAAAGTCTTTGTTACTTTGGTTTACCTGAATATCAGCTGAATTTTCAGCCTGAATCTTCAGACCTACATATTTATGGGAATATTTACAAATTATGGCTCAACAGTAGAGCATTGCTTTGCATGCAGAAGGTCCCTGCTTCAAACCCCAGCATCTTCAGGTAGGGCAAGGAAAAACCTCTGCTTGCAAACCTTCGGCGAACTGCTCCCATTCAGCAGTGCTGAGTGAGATGGAATAATGCTCCGGCTCTGTATAAAACAAGCTTCCTGTATTCCTACCGACACATGTGACGCAAACATTGGGTACAGCCGACTTTTATGCATTGCTGGCTGACCCGACAAGGTCTGCAGCCAGCCAGCAAAGCATGGCCCATCTGGTGGGGCCTCTGATTGGCCTATTTGAAGCTGGCATTTTGATGGGGAATCCCCGCTCCTTGATTCTGCCAGCTGGGGAATTCCCTAATGGCTGGCAAAACACATGGGCCTTAGCTGCTGGGGATGGTGGGTGGAAGTGAGGTCCACAACTGCCACCCACCTGAGATGGGGTGAGCAGTCGTTCCTACTAAACACCATTTAAGAAGTTTCATAGCCAGCTTTGCCATGAAGCAGAGTAATATTACTTTTTTATATATAATAAATTTTATTATTACAACAATCCAATAATAGCCTCGTTATAACAATGCTAAATTATAATACTGTTACTAATACCAATCATTTAGATGCCAAAATAGATAATGTAGAGGGCCCCCCACAAGCTAGAATTGATGGTTTGGTGATTTACTTTATTTCTGGGTTCCAAAATCTTATTAATTTCAATTACACTCCAGTCAAAATAACAATCCCTTATACAACTGCAATATCAACAACTTCCATTTGTATTGACACATTAAATGATTTATAAATCTACAGGTGAAGCATTAAAACGATATCCTTGTTCTTCCTGTGTGTGGCAATTATTCTGTCTGTGATGTTTCTTCCTGTCCTTGTAAAATATTATGTCTATCTTTTCCCGGTTGCTGCTGTTCTCCATCATGACTTGGATGGAGCTAACATCCCATTGTTGTTTCAGAAGTTCTCCATTGCTCCGTCCAGAGTGATATTATTGCCTCTTTGGTAGATACTGGAGGGTAAAGAGGGGCTGTATGTCTCATGGTATCCCCTCTTCAGCCCCTAAGCTAGCCTGCTGCTCTCAGATATGGTAGAGAATGTGCTTCCATTGCCAATGTCGAAGTAGGATTTGTTTGCTAGCATAGTTAGCTGCTATCTGTGTGATGAGGGGGTGCCATCTTGTCCTTTGTCAGGAATCAAGACGTTGACTTCAACTCACTAGCTACTAGAGGGAGTCTTATGTGACGGGGTGCATGTAGTTCTCTTGTAAACAGTCATGTGGGTGAATTGCTATTATTCCCCAGCGAACAGGTTCAACACTGAAAGATAAAAGGTGGTGTAGGAAAGAGCTGGAAACAATCAAAGGCAGTCATGTTGTAGTCATAGCAGCACCGTGTGATGGATTGTGTCTTTTCAGCTACTAAGCAAAGTTATTAATCAATTCCAAATATGTGCTATAGAATATCTCTCTCTCTCTCTCTCTCTCTCTCTCTCTCTCTCCAAGCGCAAGTAGTTGTCTTCTACTAGATAATTGGTAAAAGCCAACTTACTTTGTCTGATACAACTGATGTGCAATGCAAGTGGCTGTCTTCATCATTATCATGTCATAGCTGTATGGTGAATGTTGCATCGTACCTGACCCCATTTATTTAAATGACAGTATTTTGAGCTTTGGGGGAATGTTTGAAATAATGTTATCCTACTCATTCTCTCAGGGCTGTGTACATGATTCTTTCCTCCTATAGCCACTTTATCCTTCCGACCACCCTGGGAAGTTGGTTAAGCTAATAAGTGACTGGCCTGCGGTCACCCCACAAGTTTCATGCTGAATAGGAATTTGAACCCTTATCTAGGTTCACACTATAACCACTAAACCACACTGACATTTTCTAAATAAATTAAATTGGTTATGATTGGGAGGGCATATAAACTGAAGCAGATGGCAAGAAGGAGAGCACATGTAGAACACAGAATGATCTTGCCAAAGTGGCAGCTTTGTCTTGGACGACGATGATACATGTTAAAAGAGGACTATAATAATCACACACATGTACAGTGGTACCTCAGGTTACAGACACCTCGGGTTACAGACGCTTCAAGTTACAGACTCCGCTAACCCAGAAATAGTACCTCAGGTTACATTTACCTCAGGATGAGAACAGAAATTGTGCAGCGGCAGTGCAGCGGCAAAGGGAGGCCCCATTAGCTAAAGTGGTGCTTCAGGTTAAGAACAGTTTCAGGTTAAGAACAGATCTCCGGAACGAATTAAGTTCTTAACCCAAGGTACCACTGTATATCATACATCAAATAAATAATACCCATGTTGATAGATTTACTAAGCACCACTACTATCTTAGATAACCAGAGATCTTTACTCATATCCGATATACAGTACTTTTAGTTTAAGGCAATGTATGCCTCATAGTTGGGCTGTAAACTTAATCCAATGTATCCATTTGTAGGTAGGTCTGTAGGTGACATATTGTGCATGGTGTCAGGAACGTTCCTTCCCAGGGTGACAGTGAGGGCTCCAAAGACGAAGGGGGGTGGCAGGCAAAAAGAGACAAAGGCTTGCTTTCTTCCCATACAGAGAGTGAAGCGAGCCCTCCTGTTCCATTGGAATGCACGTAATAAATCCCCAAGACAGTATAAGGCAGACAGAGAGGCTACAGATCGCAGACACATTCTCAGAGGAGGGACAAACTGGACAAGCTGCTCCTGAATCTCCTCGTAGTTGGAGAAGTAGAGCCCAGGCTTGGCATGAGTCCAACAGGAGGAGGGGCAGCCGATGGCGGATATCCTGTTGGCGGAAAGTCCGCCTTTCAGTGGACTCAACAACTCATCAGGTGCAGAAGATTGAGCTGTGTGCTCAGACCGAAACTAAGTGTAAATACTAATAAATCTGACTGTAACAAAACCTTCAGCCTGCCATCTCTTGGTGTGAGAGGGAGATCGTAAATCCTGACACATAGTGAGTAAAATCTGTGAACTTTTCAAACTCGGTACAGATTCGTTGACTGAAACTATACCTAACTGTAGAGACAGGTGGAAAGGGAGAGACCAATTGCTGACCTATGGTTGGGAGGGTCCTCTGATCTGTCAGGATGCAGCTTCTGTGAACCAGAAAAAGTTTATGTGAAGCTAAATAGACTGGATTAGCTATGGCACTTCAAACTAGTTATCTGACTAGCAGCGTTTGCAAGCCTTGTGTTCATGGGTATTCATGGCTGACCGTGACTGCACTTGGAAGAGAACACAGTGTTCTTTAGATGTTCTTCCAGCTGTGTTGGAGGCACTTATCCATGAGCAGCTCCTACATAGCTGGGAGAATATTTAAATTATTCAAGCACATGGCTGAGACCTGTGGGTCCTATACTGCCGGGAGAACTTTGAAAAAGCAGATATGCTTAGTTCTGATGGTTTTCAAAAGATAAACCTGAGCATGGAGTCTTAAAGCATGGGAAAATAAATAATAAATAAATACTGTGGGAGGCTTATTGTGGAATAAACCCATTCAACAAAAGGTATTGCACACCTCATTTGAATTTCTTGTTGTAAGAGACTGCAAGTGCTACTTGAACTGAAAGTTGAAACCTTATGCGTAATTCTTGGGGGCAAGCCCAACTGAACATTGCAGGACTTACTTCTGAACAGGCATGAACAAGATTGTGCTGCACAATAATTATTTTGGGAAGCTAAATTTTAAACCATATAATTGTAAATAGTACCCCGGTTTCATCTACCCACTGTTGTCAAGTATGCTCAAGACACACATCTCTATATGCATCATAAACCACTTCTCTTTTCCACAACCCAAATGATGGAAAGAGGATTTAGCTAGAGGGATCCCTCTAAACTACAATCTTGCCTTTATTCTGCCAGAGGACAGACAACTATAAATCCAGCTGAGAAATCCCAGAAATTATCACACTTACCAAAATACACAGGAGCATAGCATGAGTAATTTATGAATGTAGAGATAAGATCAGAACTTTTCCAGAAGCCATTTTTATGAAGAAAGCAAAACAAAAGACTATTTACGAGAGACTGAACAGTGATGGAGGAAAAAGAGGAGAGTTATATCATCTTTCTCCTGTATGCTCTGTCCAAAACAGCAGGAAAGTGGGAAAGGATTCCTTAGTGTCAGGGTAAATTCAAAAGGGGAAAGAGAGAGAAAACAAACCTTACTTGGACACAGTGAGCCTTTACTACTGGATGTCTGAGTAGAGAAAAGGAGCACCGAAAGCCAGGCTGCATTATCTCAGTAGGATTTCTTCTGGGATTCAGGCATTCAAAGGTGCAAGAGCAGAAACACAACTGAGAGCTTCAAAAGCTAGTCAGACAGAGGGACAGTCTTTGGAATAACATTTCCCCTCCCCAACCCAAGGATCTAAAACAAGTTTTACTTTTAGAAAAGAAAAACTCTCAAAAGGGTAGGCTGGTCCTAGAAGCATCAATTTTCTGGTGGAAAAAAAAGACAAACTTTTTCTATGTAAAAGAAAAGGGGAATGTCTAGGTTCTAGATGGATGAGTTCTGGTCCTTCTTAGGAAATCACTCAAAAACTCAGGGCCTCAAAACTCAAAAACTACATAGCCAATTGTTGCCTTGATTTAATTAAGAAATTCTTCATCTTCTTTGGTAATCACTCGTAGCTGAGTAACATTGTCCTCCATAAACATGGTTTTAAAAGTGAGTCAGTAAGTGACTGTGGAGGCCAATTCTGGATCCACACGTCCTTCCACGGGGGGGGGGGGGGTGTAGGTTTCCAGGCGGGAGTTGATCATGATGAGGGTTTGCCAAGCATGCCTTCCTCTTAGCACATTTCTCCCTTTCATCCTGAGTTCGAGCATCTTCAAAGCCCATGACACCTTTGGTAAAGGCTGTTCTCCAGGAGGGCTGGCAGGCCAGTGTTTCCCAGCTGTCGGTGTTTATACTACATTTTTTTAGATTTGCCTTGAGAGAGTCTTTGAACCTCTTTTGTTGACCACCAGCATTACGCTTACCATTTTAAAGTTTGGAATAGAGTAGGTGGAAGACAATAATCAGGCATCCACACAACATGACCAATCCAATGAAGTTGATGTTGAAGAATCATTGGTGATCTTCTTCCAGTACACTGGTATTAGTTCACCTGTCTTCCCAGGTGATGTGTAATTTTTTTCCGGAGACACCTTTGATGGAATCTGTCAAGGAGTTGGAGATGGCATTTATAAGTGGTCCACATTTCACAAGCATACATGATTTAATTAAGAAATAGAGAAAGATTAAACACATGAGATTCCAAGAGGGTCCACACCAGCATACAGGCTCTACACTTTAGAGAATGGGACACACTTGCATGTTTCAATAGAGAATATGAGCAGGAAATGAATAGGCACAATGCGAAACAGAGATTGATGCTCATGAAAGGTGTCTCCACTCAATTTTCAGTGATCTTTCTCCATTCACCGTTCCATGACCAACCCATCGAGGAGGTCACCAACTCTTAGAAGAGGCCTTTTTGGTGGTAGGGGAGCTCAAGGGCATGCTAGGGGTATGAAGGGGCAGAAAAACCACCTTCTGCCTCCCCCCTTCTATGGACTGGATACAAACTAGCTGCATTTGAAGAAGAAGAAGAAGAAGAAGAAGAGTTTGGATTTGATACCCCGCTTTATCACTACCCGAAGGAGTCCCAAACATTCTCCTTTCCCTTCCTCCCCCACAACAAACATTCTGTGAGGTGAGTGAGGCTGAGAGACTTCAAAGAAGTGTGACTAGCCCAAGGTCACCCAGCAGCTGCATGTGGAGGAGTGGGGAAGCGAACCCGGTTCCCCAGATTACGAGTCTACCACTCTTAACCACTACACCATACTGGCTCTCTGGTTGGCTTGTAAACTATTGTAAACTATTCACTAAAACTTACAAAAAGTGGTGAAATTTAATGAAAACTCAAGAGCAAAGGCCTAGCTAATAATGGCGTGCTAAAGGATGGCTAGTTTCTTGCTTCTTAAAAGAGAGGAATCAATAATTCTTGTCAGTAACAGATGTTAGTCACTCTCTACTAGCTTTAATCAGCTATGATGGACTTGGATCCTTCTTACAAGTTGATGCCCAAATAAATCCTTAAGTGCTTTCAACATCCATTTCTCAACCTTAATGTGAGACTCGGAACCAAACCCTTCTGCCTAATGTAATAAACGCTACTCTCTCTTCCTTACAAATTCCTCGCGATGACTCATTTTCTCTGAAACCTAGCTATTACTGTTTTGCTCCTCTGCTGAAATGAAACCTAGAAAAGCTTGACAGCCGCAGAGAGTGCATAGGATTGCCCTTTATGTAACATCTGCGTTGGTATTGAGTTGAACTGATTACCACAGGAATCCCTAACTGCATGCTTGACAGGCCCATGCATCCTTTTGCTTCTGCCCAACAGCTCTCTTCATTCAGAGGTGGATCAACACTGGGTTTCTGATGGCTTATCAGGACTCCCTAAAACAAAAAAAGGGGAGCACCTGGCTTGCTACCCACATCTGATCCGCTGGGTCTCCCAGTCCAGCCTGTTGGCTTTGCCGTATTTCTACTTACCAACTCATACCACTACTGATCCACTCACTCCATGATCTCCCCAAGGATCAACCCAAGGACTTTCACACTTTCAGGGAGGCTCCATAGTATTTTTATAAGAAGCAGTCCAAGGCAGTATCTGAAGCTGCTTTGGAAAACCAGGTTTCAAAAACAGTGAACCAAATGAGTTCCCAGCTAGTGCTAATTATGAACATCATGACCAGTTCAACAACCCCATTGTGATGATTTAATAATTATGCAAAATAGCTTTCCCATGATATTATATGGAGACATACTTAAGTGTCCCATTGTGCCAGAAGCTACTGTTAGGTCCATCATGAGATGTCCACCAGCTTCTGATCACAGATACCAGCAGCCTTCAAGCAAGCAAACTTGCCTTATTATCACTCCTTAGCATCCCACTGCCAGAGGATCGCCTCCTTCCATTCACCAGTTTGCCTCCTCCAAGTGGAAGAAACCTGGGCAGTACTGAATGTCACATCCATTGCCAGGTGGAAACTGCTGGAAACAGAAAAGGGCTTTCCCCTTGGCTTGCATTTATATCCACTCAGTTGCCAAGTGCTTTTGTGACATCACAAGAAACCCACAGCTAATGGCAACAGCTGGGGAGGCATCATCTTCATTGCTTTGAGCCTCACAGTGGTGGGTGGACCTATCAGTGACTGTGTGCTTGTTTATTTGGGGCACGGGTGGAGCTGTGGTCTAAACCACTGAGACTCTTGGGCTTGTCAAACGGAAGGTCAGCAGTTTGAATCCCCTTGATAAGATGAGCTCCTGTTGCTCTGTCCCAGTTCCTGCCAACTTAGCAATTCGAAAGCATGCCAGTGCAAGTAGATAAATAGGTACCACTGTGGCGGGAAGGTAAATGGTGTTTCCATGTGCTCTAGTTTCCATCACAGTATTCCGTTGTGCCAGAAGCAGTTTAGTCATGCTGGCCACATGACCTGGAAAGCTGTCTGTGGATAAATGTCAGCTCCCTCGGCCTGAAAGGGAGATGAGCACCGCAACCCCACACCTTTGACTGGACTTAACATAACAGGTATAATATACCTTTTTTTTTAACCTTTCTTTTTTCACCTTTTCACCCATGACAGTTTCTCTATATAAAGCAATCCTATGCCTGAATACATCCTAAGTGGTTTTGCTGCACGTCGAGGTCCCCAAGACACCCCAAATAAATACAATGACACTTGATTTTTGTTTTAAGGTTTTTGGCGTAATTTTGGCCACAACTTTATTAAAATTACAGCAATGTGAGTGGTTGCTTAGGCACTGGTTGCGACTATCTGACCCCGCACGGGGACAGTCTGACATTCTCACTCCCCGTGAAGTCAGAAAGGGTAAGTCACCCGGGGAGAGAGACGGGACTGGGAACCATGCCTCACCTCTCCCCAAATGCTCCCAGGAGCTCTTACGTGGCCCTAGCCCCTTGCCAGGGGTTCAGACAAAAGCATGGCAAGCCCCTGGGTTCCTTTAATGGAAAACCCTTGCAGCAGCAGCAATTTGGAGGGGCAGGCACAGCCAAATCCATACCCCTCCACCAACCAATTCCCAAACCAATGCCTAAACGCAACCTTACAAAGTTGTGACGATTTGCTATGCAGTAGGCAAAAACCAAATGGCACCAGCCAATCAGCCAGATGGACAAAATTCCTACCAGGCCCCTGCTCCAAAGCAGACGACCCCATGACAGGCATAGCAAGGTCAAGCAAACAGCCTAACATTAGGGAGGGAGGGCGGGTGATCCGATGCATGCAGCGAAAAGAGGAAGCTCAACGCTGCGTGCAGGGTATTTAACAACTAGGGCTGTCAATCAAGAAATGGCAACATATAAATCTCCCCAGTAACAGCCAGCCCCTGATTAAAGATGGCCAAACTCTTTTCCGCCCAGCAACAGTGGGGTGTCTTGCTAGCCCCCACCGCAACACGTGCTCTCCATGAAGCAGAACACGCTTTGTTGTTGCTGCTGCTGCTGCTGCTGCTGTTTTAGTACAGCTTTCTGCAAGCCAGTCCCTTCAGATATTTTGGACTATAGTTCCCATCAGCACTAAGGAGGGATAATAGGACTGGTAATTCAAAACACATTGAGGGCACCAAGTTGGGAAAGGTTAACTTAACACGTCTATGGACAGTTTAGAAGTTGACCAATGTAATATTCCATTATATATTCCATTTTGGCAATAATTCCAGGGAAATGCTTGAGGTAAAGGGTGGATTGTGAATATTGATGCAATATCCTAAAGGAGAGAAGAAACAAACATCAACAGAATAAAACTAAGTATTTCTTACCTCAGATGAGAAAATAAAATGAGTCTGAAATAAGAGAAGAGAGAAAATTAAATTCAGTTCATGCAAGTGGTTGAAGATTTGTGCTAGCCACAGAAGTGCAGTGACTTCTCAAATGTCCAATGTTTCCACTCTAACCTACAGCTCAGTTCTCAGGTGCGACTGTGTGACTCACCAAGTGTATTGTCTGCCCCACAGCAATGCTAGCTCATCCAAACAGCACTAATGGTAGCTAAAAACAAGCAGCAAAACAAAATGCTCAATTAAAGTTCCTTTAAAAATGTATGGTGAATCCATGAGAGTGTGGAAAGGAAATTTAAAAGGTTATCACATCTACACAGAGAACTATCCATTCCATTTTAACAGGGGAAAGCAGATAATGAGGAACACAAATGGATTAAAGGTGACATTTTATCTTAGAAAGAATTCATCTGGATGGGAATTCATGTAGGCCAGGGATATGCGTTGCCACATGTATTTTACTGCTTATTCTGGAAGGTCCCTCAGCCTCTCACTGGCCCAGAGACTCTCCAAAGTGGCATTCCATGGCACGTAAAGGATTCTGCTACAGGAAAATCAGGAAATGCACCCAAACACTTTGTAAAAACAATGCATAGGCTACTTCCTTTTTAGTTCCCAACTACAGTGGTACCTCAGTTTAAGTACTTAATTCGTTCCGGAGGTCCGTTCTTAACCTGAAGCTGTTCTTAACCTGAAGCACCACTTTAGCTAATGGGGCCTCCTGCTGCCGCTGCGCCGCCGGAGCACAATTTCTGTTCTCATCTTGAAGCAAAGTTCTTAACCTGAAGCACTATTTCTGGGTTAGCGGAGTCTGTAACCTGAAGCGTATGTAACCTGAGGTACCACTGTATATTGTTTAAAGTCCAAGAGAGGAATAAATACAGTGGGCAATAATTAAAATATAGATTTTAATCTCTGGGGAAAACTTTGGAAAAGCGATTTGAATTTCACAGCATGTTATTTTTTGAAAGAGAACTACTTGAAACTGATTTACACATGGTATTTAATTCTGAGTAGGCTTGTTAAGATGCGGGGACTGACTTCCGTGATGCTGGCATGGCTTCTGGGTGGGCAGCAACGCTGGCGCTGCTTTGAATTGTCTACAGGAAGTTCCTGCAGCCAATCCGAAGCCTCGCCACCCGACCCGCCTGTTGTGATAAACCTGGCACGGCCAAGGATAGAGAAGCCGGCCAGTGGGCTGCAGGTCTGGGCCATGCCATGGGCATTGTGGCAGGCGCGTCGTGGGGCTTCAGCCAGAGCTTGGCGTGCCTGCTGGCCCCGCGCCTGGCACCCGGCAAGGCGCTGCTGCTGGTGGCGCGCTCGGTGGCCATGCTGAAGCAGCTGGAGGGTAAGCTGCATGCCTCCTGCCTGCCGCTCCATGTGTGCGGCCTGCACGCCGACCTGGCATCGGGCGACAGCTGCAGCGTGTGGTGCCCACCGCCTGGAAGCTCTGTGGGGACGGGCTGATGGAGCAGTTGCTGCTCGTCAACAACGCCGGTGAGTGGGCGGTGCCAAGATGCGCTCCTGAGCGCGTGCAGATTGCATTCCTCCTCCAGGTCCGAAAGCAGCTGCAAGACTGGCTTGAAGGGTATTTATATTTTTCAAAATATAGTCCGGCCCCCCACAAGGTCTGAGGGACAGTGAACTGGCCCCCTGATGAAAAGGTTTGCTGACCCCTGTTCTAGGTGGCCAACAAGTTTTGTGAGTGTTGTTTCTTTCATTCTACATATCACCCCTCTGGAGATCAGCACCTCCTGCCAATATCCTGGAACTGTAAGCAATTTAGGCCACCATTTTGTAACCCATCTACCTATGAATAAGTCTTACTGAACTCATAGGACTTACTTCTGAGTAGTCATATATAGTTTTGCACTGTTAGATATGTAAAAATTTCAACAAGCATAATGGAAACATTTTGAATTATGGTGCTGGAGGAGACTCTTGAGAGTCCCATGGACTGCAAGAAGATCAAACCTATCCATTCTGAAGGAAATCAGCCCTGAGTGCTCACTGGAAGGACAGATCGTGAAGCTGAGGCTCCAATACTTTGGCCACCTCATGAGAAGAGAAGACTCCCTGGAAAAGATCCTGATGTTGGGAAAGATGGAGGGCACAAGGAGAAGGGGACGAGAGAGGACGAGATGGTTGGACAGTGTTCTTGAAGCTACCAGCATGAGTTTGACCAAACTGCGGGAGGCAGTGGAAGACAGAAGTGACCATGGGGTCACGAAGAGTCGGACACGACTAAACGACTAAACAACAATGGAAACAATCCATGTAGAAGTTATCTTATGCAAAACCTAATTGGAACCGCCTGGGCATTTGCCTGAGTAAGTTATCTAAGATCAGATTTACCCTAATGCAAAACATCCCTCTGAACTTCAGATGAAATGCAACTATTTTAAGTCTGGCAACTTCAGTTGTTTTTAAAAGTCTAGCACTTCTGTGCACATTAACATCTGCTTGGCAACTCTTAATTAAATGCCTTTGTCCCAAACATTTAAATGTCAAACAATAATAAAGCTTGACTGTGAAATGACTGGCTTCTGTTGCTAAGGGAATGGCTTCCCTGTTATCTGCATATTCATGTATATATTAAAGTTTTCTGGACTGGGAGGAAGCGGCAGAGCCACAAGTGAGCATGCAACAGCATAACAATAGCAGATCATGCCAAGCAACAGCTCTGCATTCCAGCAATTGAAGTCACATCTGTTAGTCATATACTGTATTTCATCCTGTATTTCATAGATCTATCTGAAGCTGACAAGACGCTCAGGCATAAGCAAATAGGAAGATACTAGCTAAGCTAAAAAAGAGAGAGGTAAAGATAAAGGGACCCCTGACAGTTAAATCCAGTCGCAGATGACTCTGGGGTTGCGGCGCTCATCTTGCTTTCCAGGCCTAGGGAGCCGCGTTTGTCCACAGACAGTTTTTCCAGGTCATCTGGCCAGCATGACTAAACCGCTTCTGGCGAAGCCAGAGCAGTGCACGGAAACGCCGTTTACCTTCCCGCCGGAGCAGTACCTATTGATCTACTTGTACTTTTAGGCGTGCTTTCGAACTGCTAGGTTGGCAGGAGTTGGGACCGAGCAACGGGAGCTCACCCCGTCGCGGGGATTTGAACTGCTGACCTTCTGATCGGCAAGCCCAAGAGGCT